ACTACCCACCCAATTCCACCAGAGCGATTCCTGGTAGTATCGACAAAATAATGAGCAAGGGAGGTGTTATCACGTTGGCCATTCATCGTCAGATACCCTTACCGTCTCATTTACGGGATCCATTCGAACGATAATGGGGTTATTTCCCTGCACAAACATATTTATCCAGATTGCAAGTCGGAAATCCCGACCAGGTGCCAATAACGGCTGTCTTATCGCACTACGCCCGATATTCCTTCTCGGAGGGACGATGTGTTGTCCTTAATCTATCCCGAAGTTAGTCTACAGCTCTCTTATTTCCCTTCCCATCGTTCCCTTCCCCTAAATCACTCTTCAATTGGACACTCTTTACAGCAAACTCGGTTATTTCCCTATTATTTAACTTCCTTCTGGTACAAAGCCCCTTCCCTACTAACGATGTCCACCCATCGACGAGTGACCGCTCCCATCGACGAGTGACCGCTCCCATCGACGAGTGACCGCCCCCATCGACGGTGACGGCTCCATCAGCTGGACACACACACACCACTCATGGCCACAAACGTTCGCGCCGTCCATCTCCGCGCCGCGAAAACACAAGCGCGTCACTTGATCCGGCTACAGGTCCTTCACCAACGCGCATATCAGCGCCAGCATGCGTTGGAAGGACCCGGCGACGTCTACATACTGCTCATCCCTGGGCAGCCGTTCCCCACAGTCACCCACCCGGATATGTTGTTAAGTGCCGTGTCGACCAAAGGGACGGAGACGGAGACGGAGTCGAAGTCGGAGACGGAATCGAAGTCGTAGAGCACTTGGGGCGGAACACCACAGAAGGATGTTTGGGTGACCGGGGCTTCCAGTTGACCAAGACAAGACAAGAGGAGAAGAGCGGAGTCGAGACGACGCTGGGAGATAGAGACCAGCAACGTTAATTTACAAACTGAAGTACGTGATAATACATCAAAGTATTTATAGTACGAGAAGTAACGGAAACGGAATAAGGTACAACAAAGTAAGTAACAAGATTAGAACAAAGTCAAGTAAAGTAGAAGAGGAGTTGCATACGAGGAACAAGGCATAGATGATTGCATAGATCATAAGTCGGGGTAATTGGAAACGCTCAGTAAATCTTCATTGCGTAAAAACCAAATACCGGAGTCGATATCGGAATCGGATGCCGGAGTCGGCACGGATATAACATATGTACAAGATCGGGCAGTCCAACGATGCCCGGCGCCGTTTACTGCAACACCGCCACCAGTGTGCAGGCAACGGCTGCCAGCCGATCATGGCGTTTCGTGTGCCGGAACGAATCCATTGTGGTACGTAGTTGTACCATTTTGGCCATGTTTACTGACCTTCTCAGAGCGCGTTCTTCACGACTACTTCGATCTCCAATGTCGTGCATGGCCGGGGCGTATTCGTTGCACATTCTGCAACAAGAAACATCAAGAATATTTCATCCAGTCTCTCTGCGGCACGATCGATGAGATCAGATGCACAATTGAAGGAATCATTGTCGGGCTAGGATGGCCTATAGTTGCAAAGTAGGATGGCCGATGGATGGCCGATTAGAATAAATGTCCTCTATATCTCACAAATACGGGTCACTTTTGGGACCATTATTGTACTCCTGATTTCTGATATATTTTGGCCCTTAAATCTGGTCCCGATTGGCGGAAAATCGGGTCCAGAAAACGGCACCACAATTTGTTCCGTATCTTGGGACAAATTAAGTGCATTAATCATCCACAAATCCGGCGCCTAAAGCGGGGTGCCCAGATACATGTCCGATCCGAGGGCCCGAAAGGCGTCTTGATTTCTGACATATCGGGTCCACTTTTGGACCCCTTTATTTTTCATTAATCAAATTCATTATCAGTGACCGCTATTTGTACCAGTATTTATGCTATATAAATCCTGCTTCGGGGCCCGTTTTTTGGCAGAAACCCCAGTGTGCATCTCTAATACAGTATGGCATGACCTATGGAATGTAATAATAATAGTTGAGTGTTTGCCCTAACCCCTTATTAAGGGGGAAGTTAAAATAATGATTAAGTCTGCAAAAAATATAATTTCAAAATAGCTGGACTAAAAATTGATATAGAAGTGAAACTACAAATGCCTTTATGGTCTCATGTCTCCATGAAATATAAGTTATATACTGTAACAATTTGTTCAATTCTAGCCTGGAAAGCTGAGATCAAAGGGCAACGTCGAGGACGATGACAGCGGACTCCTTGACAGTGGCGGCAAGGTGTCTGACAGTGGTGGGCAACAAACTCCGTGGCCAATGATAGCGGGCGGCGATCGGCAACGTCAATCAATGATTGGTGACATAAGTCATGATCGTGACGACGACACCGAGGCCCTGGGGGCGGGGCAGTGCGCACAGTGGGCGGGGGCAGGGAGGCAGCCGGAAGGCGTGATGGCAGCCTCCGGGGCTCTTTCCCCGCTACCAAAGACCAGCCTTGGTAGCCAAATTTAGCGGGGGTGCCTGCCACTGGCTTAACCCCCTCTAGTTAGAGGGAGATAGTACCCTACTCTATTTCTTTAACTAGAGGGTATTAGCCATAGGTGCTGTGGACCATGGTCAGGCTGGGTCAGAGCAATGAGCATCCAAGGGGGCACCAGTCAGATGCACCTCGGATGTGCTCAGATGGTCCAAAGGAGGCCGAAGTAGGGGTTCCCCTGACACTTGTGGTTGTGATGCATGCCTATATGATAGGAAAATACTGAGATGTGATTATCGTGGAAATGTATTAATATAGCTCAAAAACTTCTAGTAATATGTATTGATGATAAATGGAATCCTCTCTCTGTGACATTGTTGATACATTAAGTCTCACACACAAAGAACAATCACAAAATTCACTTCTATTCAGTACTGAATATGAACAAACCTTTGATCCTAATTCCAAGGTAGATGATTTAGCTAATGTATGCAGAATCTTTGTAGAAGATGATTTTTTTAATATCTTTACAATCAGCAATAAGACAAGATGAACAAAATGCAAATGCATTAAATAAACTTATTAATATATTTACAAATCTTAAAGTTACCCAACTGGGAGAGTATAAGCCTAGATTACTGTCTGTAATCAGAATAACTTCAAGTGGAGATTGCAGTGATAACAAGAAATTTTAAATTCACTTCTCTGATAGAAAGAAGACCTTTCTTGAAAGGACAGAAATATATCCTTTTATATGACCAACAAACCTGAATATCAACAGCTCATTTATGACAAGAGTAAAATATATCTTTTATATCTCACAGAAAGGGGTATTGAAAGCCAGGTGAAAGGTCAGCTTTTAAATACCTGTTCTGTCTCCCCTAGGGCTTGGTTTTATTTTGAAAAGAAATTAGCATTAACAAACAGTTTGTAAAAAAATCTTCCCAAAACCCTGTTTATATAAACCGGTTTTTAGGTTTTATAAACACTTCAGGATAAGCAGCCCAATTGTGCCTCACGCTGATGTGCTTGCTTGCCAAATGACAAACAAGGACTAAGTGTGCAGGTGCCTTCAGAGCTAACAAACTCCTCAGGAAACTCAACACCAAGAACTCAAGAGAGAACTCAAACTCAGAAGGGAAAGCGGGGGGGGGAAGCCGCTCTGGGGGAAAGGATATGATATGATGCTAACTACTAACTATAGACAGGCTTTTATAGACTAGATAAATAAGGGCTATGTTACATGCATGTAAAATGTGTGTACCAGCTATATATAGTGGAAGCGCATATGACCAGCATCTGGTCATAGTGGTCTTTTGGCCCAGTTGGATCCTGTGTTAGCGCTTCTGTATGGATGATGAAATAGAAACTCAAATCAAATGGAAAAATGAGCAACAAAGTCAGGAAAGATAGGGAAGGAACTAAGGTAGGAAATGGCAACTAGAAAAGAAAGTGGAAACTAAAATAGGAAAATCAAACTGTGACAAACTGTGACTTGTGACGAGCCAGGCTTGTCAACGCCACATAATTTGCATATGTTTTTCAAGGCTAAATACTACTAATAGTAGTCCTAGGTGAGGCCCAAAAGAGTTTCCCTGTCAGGGGAACCCCTGCTTTGGCCTCCTTCGGACCGTCCGAGCACATCCGAGGCACATCCGACCGGCGCCCCCTCGGACGCTCCGACCCACCCCGACCATCGTCCACGGCCTCCTTCGCCCGCACCATCACCGATCCGTCAAGACCCTCCCAATGATCACCTTGGGACAGAGCCTGCGACGCCGCTCAGGCCTTTTGCGCTCTACGTCGCAGTTACGGACGACCAGTATATAGTTGGCGCCCTAGCAGGCGGACCCTTAGAGTTTCTTCTCTTTGGATCCTCCCCTGCTAGGCTTTCGTCGGAGTCTCCAGGGTTGCCCTTACATTCCCTTCAATATCTACTATTTTTAGATGGCAGAGATGTCACACTTTGGCTGACTGTCACACTAGTGTCACATTGTTTACAAATACCCTCTTCAATAATATAGAAACATGTATCTAAACATGTAAATTCAATACATGTTTCAAAGGGAAAAGAAAAATTTGAATTTCCCGTGGGTCTTGACTGCAACCTATCGGGTGCTTTGGTACTGGCTGGAAGTCCTGCAAAGTGGATGTGCTCCTCCCAGAAGTCATGAACATTCCCAGGATCCTCGAGAGTCAAGATAGCAGGCTCCATTGGTCTAATGAGAGGAGAAGATATGGCTGCCGGCGATCTTGTGCCGGACCAAAGTGTCATAAACGTTGGGCGAGTGGAAAAATTACTTTGATTCCGCGGATCCGCGATGACGTAGGTATGATTTGTCGTTCGTCTTCGGCCGAGACAAAAAAATCAAGCAAGAAAACTCATCGTGACGTCCTCTTCGTTTCTGTCGAGTGCTCACCACACTGTTTCCAAGCTCCGACCCTGTGCAGGGTCTCAAACAAGCGCCTGTCAGCCACGAGGCCGCCAAGCATCATGATACGCATGGCAAAACGAGGCCGTAAGCGCGCCGGTGGGAGTCCTGCCAATCGCCGCACGCTTGTCGTCTGTGGCGACCCCACACTTCTTTTCCTCTGCACCCACATCCACAGCCTTTGAAGGGTATGAGCGAGGGCGGACGACGAGACCTTTCGATGGCTGGCGAAGACTCGGAGCTCGACAAGTACTCGGATGCGCGGAATAGAGAGGGGTGCTCAGGCGAGTGGCGCGCTCGGTGGAGGCCGTGAGTAGCCTCAACTAATAGTCATTCTAGACCTCGTTCCTCAAGAGGGCGGACAAGATGGTGTCGGAGAGCATAAAAACGTGCGGGAAGGTGGTTGGCAACCGGGTACGAAAACTTGGTCCATCTCGCTCACTGGGCTGACGACAAAAGCCACCCGACCGAGAGCATCCAGTGCTCCTGGCTCGGACTACGCGTCATTCAGCTCAAAGGCTCTGACTCCGACACCCGACGCGTTGAGATCCGGCCGTGGTCGAGGCCCTGGCAATTCTCATCGACCCGAAGCCCTCTTGCGCTCGCGCCCGTTGACAGTTCATTCGCCCTATGCAGCAGGACCGAGCAACTTCCCTCGTAGCGCTGCATCACGGTCACGTTCACCTTCTCGCGCTCAGGCTCGCTCTCGCTCTCCATCAGGCTCTACCCACCAAAAGCCGCACCAAAAAGGCCGCCGCCCCTTCCCATTCCGCACACGAACCGATTCTTCCCCCTTTGCACGAGGCCCATCGTCTTCCCGTGTCTCGCACGCTTCGCGATTCGGTCGGTTTGGCCACCAACCCACATATGCATATGACCCTTATGCCTCCCATCCGTATTATTACTATGGCTATCCTTATGAAAATGCGAATGCAGCTGCCGGCCAGTCGGAGCGGGAGCCGTTTATCGCCCGCAATCCATTCCGACTGCGTTTCCGCACCGAAAATACGAGGGAAATCCTCCCTCTGTATCACGGCTCTACCTCTAGCAGCGACACCTCTGCTCCCTCCGCAAAAATTTCCCGCCTCCATCAAGTGTGGACGGCATTGCTGTCCGCCGTCTCCCTCCTGTTGGTGGCTCTTCCTCACCAGTTATGTTTGCACCTGCTTCTCCTCCGACTACCGCACCTCTACTTTGGCCGAGTGGCGTCGCTCTTCGAGGATTCCAACTTTTCTGCACGGGACATCCCGATTCTCTTGTCCGTGCGCGACATCGCCACGGTCCCCCATCTCGTCAACTTGCGCTATGGCTGGGACGCGTTGCTCGACGGGCTGCTAAGAGAATGGAAGGCACAAACCGTCGTTTCGGCCTTGTTCCTCTCGTAAGTTTCCCTCCACTGTGCAAATCAACTGTTAAGACGAACCATGGCAGCACAACCCTGTCCCTCTTCCAAATATCTTCCTCGATCGACCACGTTTCCCGCACGATCGCCGTCCTTTCACTGCTCTGTGCGCTATTCAGCATTTGCCTCTCCTCGCTGTACATCGTTCACTTTGGCGGGGGACCGCTCCGTGCGATACGGAATGCTGCCAAACTTGCTGAGGTGCCCCATCCTATGCATGCCTTTCCTTTCCTTTTACTGACGCTTTGTCGAATTAGGAAGCTCGGCAAAGCCACCCGTCGCAGATCTGGAACACATGGGTCGTCCTCGCGCTGCCCGCCGTCTGGTTCGCCTGGTCCGTCCTACTCTTCCTCACCAGCATCACGATCTTCGTGTGGCAGATGTACACGACTGCCCGTCCATCATCGCCACAGGCACCACATGACCAGCTGGCGCTGGGCACCGCCGTCGCTTTCTGTGTCGTCCTTTCCCTCGGGCTCGCATCGTTGGTCTCCGCGCTGCTCAAATTCCAGCACTTGGGCGACCATGACGCGCGTCAGGCCCGCGCCAACCCGGAATCGGACATCGAAAAGCACCCGAGCGACAAAGGTAGGCCGTGGCACAACCGCGCTATCCCCGCCACCCCGAGCAACGAAGCGCTTTCGCGAGCGCAGGCACAGGCCGACGACCCGCCGCGGCCGGGCCGGTCGCCCTATATGTATGCGGACGTGCCCGATTATGCCGGCCCGGCCCACGTGATGGGCGTTCCCCAGGCGGCATCGTCGGTGCCCTCACGAGGGCGCAGCGTGCGGTACCATCGGCGCACAGAGGTATTTCAGGAGAACCAACCCGTTGTTAGCCAGCCGCTCGCGCAGGCGAAAACACGGTCCGAGGGCATTGACAAGGTGCCGTTTTCGAGGTTGAAGGTCGTGGAGCTTCAAGTGAGCGGTGAAAATCACGCGGATGCGGATCCGAAAGGCCAGCCACAGTCCTACGCCAGTGGGCTACCGTTTGTGGCCTCGCCAGCCCTCGAGCAGCGGGATATAAGGAAGGAAGATTGGACTCGGTTCATCGAGGTATACTTGCTTAATTGCCTTACCTCAACTAAACTCCTTCCAGGAACTCGACGCGACGTGCCGCCCCGACTCGGCCGTTCCGCCCTTCCCGCTGCCCGCCGCGCTGCACACAAATCGGACGGATACCGGCGGACGGGCGTGGCAGATGTTGCGGCGCGTGGCCACGACAATGCATGTGTGGAACGACCGCTTCTTCGGTGTGCGCGGCGTTGAGTGCGTCATTGTCCTCCGGGCAGGCAACGGAGAGCCTGAAGAAAAGCATGCGCAGCGGGCGGAGATTTGGTTAATTGGGCTGACCTTCGGTGGAGCAGACCGGGAGGAGAAGCAGGGAGTTTGGGGGGCGATGGAGACACAGACACAGGATGGCGACGGTGGCAGTGGCCGAGGTGTGGTGGTCCGCATGCGGGAAGAGGCGTCGAGAGGCAGGGATCGGTATTATTGCTCCATTGCTGAGCTATCATGAATGATAGATGCGTTGTTGAGGAGATGCCAGTGCCAATGGACTTCGATATCATGATTCCAGTGCAAGGGGTTCCCTTTCGCTCTACATGAGATTGTTAGTGAAACTTAACTATGTAATCCACTTATGTTTCCTTCATATTCAAATGTTTGTCCACACTTATAATCTTTCTAGGCCACGATAGTATGTAAGTAGTAATTATAAATGATCAAATAAAAGCTCAAATGTATATAACCTCAAGATCAAGACAAGGTAACAATTACTAGCAAGTTACTCCTTACCAGGAACGGTGACATGTCTTGAGCCAGCCTTGCAAAAGAATACGATCTATACATATTTTCATGAAGAATATATTGCACATGCATCATTTGAATTGTTATTGCACATACTTACTATACTTGCTGTTTGATATGGTAGAATCTTCATTGTTTTAAACAAATTATAACATGCCCAACAATCAGATAATTGCAACAAAAAGCTGTTTTGTGACAGTCCGGCATCAAATCATTGCAAGTCAATGAATTCCTAGCCATTTGCAGGTGCTATGTAGTAGGCAGACAGGAAATTGAAAATTTCCTTTCCCCTTTTAAACATATATTGAATGTACATAGATGCACATTCCCGAGACAAGAAATATGATATATTAATTGTTTTATAAATGACTATTCTTTATCAAGCTTTCTGTAAGACCAAAAAGAATATCTTGGGCAGAGATAGAAAAGTTATTGGAAAGCTGACTTTCCATATGGCTTTCACTACCCCTTTGTATATAATATAAAGAAGATATTTTTACTCATTTTATAAATAAGCTATTTATATTCATGTTTATTTATTGTACAAAAGAACATATTTCTACCATTTTCAGAAGGGTCATCTTTATATACACTTTTACTAGCAGACAGAAATAACATCTTTCAAGAAAAAGAGAAAGGTGTGCTTTTTGATCGCATGAAAGGGGTAAGGAAACATCATCTTTCTGACTTTTTCAGAAAGATGCTGTTTGTTCTTGTATGAAAGGGGAAACAAATGATGTCCTTTCTGCAAAAAAAATAAAGATGTTATTTTTCATTGACATGAAAACATGAATATAAACACATCCTCTTTAGGGAAAAAAAATGTTCTTTGTGCTATAAAGAAACAGGTCTACAAATCTGTATTGAAAAGATGAATGGCACAAACAACACTAATTGAGAGGATGCCAGTTAGGCTAGCAAGAAGCACCATGAAAAGATATTGTAAAGATGATGCAATTTAAAGACTGGGGTATAAGACGAAATCTACTCTACTTATATACACTACTACCATGTGTTTACCATACCTAATATAAGAGGTAATGACATCATACTTTAGCCATGCTTTAATGTGCTGTTTGCCTCATGTCCAACTCCACGCTGTCAATCAACATCAGCATCGACATCTGATAATCCAGTCACCATCTTATCGTCCATCTTCTCTCCTCCTTGTCTTATCTTATCAACCAGGGCCACAATAAAAGGTTTAAAAGGCAAAGAAAAAGCTTTCTTGAACCCATGGTTTGACAATGAATTTTCAATTGACAATTCAGTTTTCTCTGAAAGAGGTTCCTTTCATACAAGTGAAATATCTTTGAAAAACAACCAATTATTCTAATTCAGATATATGATGTTTCTTCTCTATGAAAAGAAGTATTAAAATATTCATATTGAATTCATTTTTTAATGGAAAAGAAAGTCCTGTGAGGGCCTGCTTGGTGTCGATGTTCGTCCATAATGTCTAGACTTCCTAATGAGTATATGTCAGGGGAACCTCCCTTTCGGCCCCTCGGAGACGATTCCGATTCCGGTCCGACTCCGGCTCCGACTCCGGTGATCGCATCACCGCCTCCGTCAGGCGCATCGCCGCCCCCGCCTGGCGATCCCCCTGGGACCTGGCCTGCGACATGGCGCAGGCATACTGCACGGAGCAACGATCAACCTTGGCGCGTCAAGAGCGCAGTATATAGTTCCGCTACCTAGCAGGCGGACCCTTAGAGTTTCTTCTCTTTGGATCCTCCCCTGCTAGGTCAGCCTCACTTGTATTTGCTTACTTCTATTCACTCTTTGGATCCTCCCCTGCTAGGACCTTGATCTCAGGCCTCCGGGGTTGCCCTTACAGCAGAAGAAACTCTCTACGGGATCAACCGGACAAGATTGCTAGGTTCGGCGCTGACTCAGGCTCGGAATACGAGTCCGTTCCGCCCTCGTCACCCCCCCTACCACTTGTCCCCTCCTCCTCTGTCACTCCTGTCATCCCCGCACCTGTCATGCCTTCCGGAGCTACTCCTGATGCTGACACTCGGCTGGATGCACTCGAGGCGAAAATCGACCGCCTAACTGAGGCCCTTACTCTTCTCACCACCCAGGCTTCCGCTGCCGCTGCCGCCGCTAATACTGCTGGCGGACCCCAAACAACACCACCCCCGGAGACGTCGATTCCGACTCCGACTCCGGTTCAGGGCGATTCCGAGGCCCTCTTTGGCGACATCAACCTCGCCTCAAAATTGGTCTTGCGACCAAACCCTCCGTTCACCTTCAACGGCGATCGGAAACGCGGCCGCGTTTCTCTATGCGGTCCGCACCTACGCCCGCCTTGCCCCTGAGGCCTTCGTGGTCAACGGAGAGGCGAGCGAGGAAAAGGCCGTCCGCTATGCCATGTCGTTTATGGCAGAAGGACCCGCTCAGCAATGGGCGGAGCGCCACGGAAGCAAAGCCCCGTTTCCGTTTCCGTCCTGGGGGCTCGTTCGTTTCCGAGTTCCGACTCCGGTTCGTCGAGGAGAATGAGCAAGATCATGCTCTCTCCAAACTGGAGACTTCCGCCTATCACATGGGCACAAAGGATGTCTACCAGTACACCGACGACTTCGAGGACCTGATGGACCTCGCCGGATTCGAAGACGCGTTGGTCAAGGTGACCAAGTTCCGCCACGGACTTGACCCCCTGATCAACAACGGAATCACGTCCTCGAACGACCCCCGGACCTCCGGGACTACCTTAGCTGGCGCACCCGGGCCTTCCGTCAATACGAGGCCCTGGTCCGGGCCAAGCTGATCAAGTCAGCCGCCCCCAAGACGCCTGGCGGTTTGATTCGGACTCTGTTTCCGGTCAACCGCATCCCGGCTCCGGCCCCTTTCCGCCTGGTGGCTCCGGTCGTGCCACCCGTGGCCCGCGCCCCCGCTCCGGCGCCTCCAGCTCCCGTCCCCATGGAGTTGGATCGCACTAGGGCTCGGGGTGCCCCTCGTCGCGCCTGCTTCAGGTGCGGCGACCCAAACCATCTCGCCCGGGATTGCCCCCTCCCCGCAGACGTCCGCTCAATGGACATCCTCGACGAGGTGATCCAACAACTCGGTGACGAGATGTTAGCGGAGTTGATCGCCCGCTACTCGGACACAGCTGCGCTGCCGGAAACAGTCGGAGTCAATGGCCGGAGAGGATTTTGTCCCCGCGACGAGTGACTGGTGTGCCCTCGTTCGCGTCCGTAAATCGTTTCGCTTGTTTGTATGACGAATCAATTCCTTTGCCCTACAACGAGCCTGAAACGAAAGACATACCCTCCCCCGCCCCCGTTTCGACTCCGTCTCCGACTTCGCCCCGCGACTCCGGTCATCGTCCTTCGCCGCCTCACTGCCTGGGAAAAGAAACTGCCCAAGCAGTACACTGTCGCTGCTTCCCCTGGAGTGAACTCCCTCCACCTCCCGTTGGAGCTAGAGTCCACTACCAGCGCGCTTAAGCTCTCGCTCTCTGGCCTGGTTGACTGTGGTGCCACCTCCGACTTTATTGACACGAACTATGTCGCTCGGAATGGCATTCCGGTCCGCACCCTGGCGCAACCGATTCCGGTCTTTAACGTTGATGGCACTCCGAACGACGCCGGCTCCATCAACCAGATCGCGGACTTGGTCTTACGCTACAAAGGCCATTCCGAGCGTGTTCAACTTCGCCGTCACTCATCTTGGTAAACAAGACCTTATTCTGGGGTACTCCTGGCTGCGGAAGCATAACCCGGAAATCAATTGGGAAACCAAGGAGGTCAAGATGACACGGTGCCCCCCGCGGTTGCTCCACTTGCCGCGAGGAAGAACGCGTTGAACGGACTGAGCTACGGCGACTCCGGCTGCTCCAGAAGCGACTCCGCTCCGGCCCGTTCCCCTCGGTCTGCACCATGGACCTCTCTGGGCCTGACGACGGAGACGATTCCGTCTCCGGTGACAACTCCGCCCTGCCTGATCTGATGCCGGACTCCGACGACGATGAAGACGATGGTCAGCTTGAAGATGGTGACCGCATCTTCTACACCTCGTTCCGCCCCTCGGAGGAGATACGCGCTGGCAGTACTGTCTCACAGCGCCTGGCCGAAGCCTTCGCCAGGAACTCCGCCCCTGCGCCCTCCGAGATCCCGGACTGGGCTAAGGAGTTTCAGGACGTCTTCAACAAGGAGTCCTTCGACACGCTACCGGAGCGGAGAGCCTGGGACCACGCCATTGAACTCGTCCCCGACGCTAAGCCCACCAACTGCAAGGTGTACCCCATCTCGCCCCTAGAGCAACGCGAGCTCGACGCGTTCATCGAGGAAGGGCTTTCGACGGGCCGGATTCGCCCTCCAAGTCTCCGATGGCGTCTCCGGTCTTCTTCGTCAATAAGAAGGACGGCGGACTCCGCTTCGTCCAGGACTACCGTGCTCTCAATGCGATGACTGTCAAAAACCGGTACCCCCTTCCGCTGATCAACGACCTCATCAACCGGCTCAAAGGCGCTCGTTACTTCACCAAACTCGACGTCCGTTGGGGCTTCAACAACGTCCGGATCAAGGAAGGTGACGAGTGGAAAGCGGCTTTCCGGACTAACCGAGGCCTGTTCGAGCCCTTGGTGATGTATTTCGGCCTGACAAACTCTCCCGCGACGTTCCAAACGATGATGAATGACATTTTCCAGGACCTCATCCTCTCCGGAGACGTCATGATCTACCTTGACGACATCCTGATCGCCCATTCCGACCTCCGGAAACACCGGCAGATCGTTCAGGAGGTCTTGCGGCGACTCCGAGAGCACAAGTTGTACCTCCGAGCGGAGAAGTGCGACTTTGAAAAATCGTCAATCGAGTACCTCGGAGTCATCATCTCCCACAACCACGTCGAAATGGACCCCGTCAAAGTCGCAGGCGTCTCCGCTTGGCCGACTCCGGAAAACAAGAAGGACATTCAGCAGTTCCTTGGGTTCGCTAATTTCTACCGCAGGTTCATTCGGGACTTCTCGACCCCCTCGCGCCCTCTCTTCGTGCTCACCAAGAAGGACCAGCAGTGGACTTGGGGCGACGCGGAGGCCTCCGCGTTCCAAGCGATCAAGGACGCAGTCACCTCGGAACCGGTCCTGGCGATTCCGGACGACGCCACGGCCTTTCCGACTTGAGGCGGACAGCTCTAATTATGCGACAGGGGCGGTTCTTTCACAATCCGCCCCGGACGGGAAGTGGCACCCTGTAGCATTCTATTCCAAAAGCTTAAATGATGTCCAGCGCAACTACGAAATCCACGACAAGGAGATGCTCACGATCATCCGCGCACTCGAGGAGTATAGACACTTCCTCGAGGGCGCCGCGCATCCCGTCGAGATTTGGACTGACCATAAGAATCTGGAGTACTTCAGGAAGACGCAGCACCTCAACCGGAGACAGGCCCGCTGGTCCCTCTACCTCTCCCGGTTCGACTTCACGCTGCACCACAAGCCCGGCCGCGACATGGGCCGACCTGACGCCCTCTCTCGGAGACCCGACCACGGAATCGATTCCGACAACTCCGACGTCGTCCTTCTGCGGCCCGAACTCTTCCATGTCCGCGCTCTCGAAGGCGTTTCCGTTTCCGGCCCTGGTTCTGAACTCCTTCGCGACATCCGCGATGCCCTCTCCGGTGAGCCTGACCTGGAGGAGCCCGTCGCACTAGCGGCCCGGCAACTCCTAAAGGTCCAAGGTCAAGCTCGAGGCCCCCCGCTCCTCGCGCTCCGACGAGTGGGCTGTCTCCGGTGGTCTTCTTCACTTTCGTGGGAAGATTGTCGTACCTAAGGATAAGGACCTCCGGAGACGCATCATCGAGCTCTGCCACGACACTCGAGTTGCCGGACACGCGGGTCGCTTCAAGACCTTGGAGTTGGTCTCCCGGAACTACTGGTGGCCTCAGATGTCTCGCCATATTGGCCGGTACGTCGCGACCTGTGACTTGTGCTGTCGCACCAAAGCACTCCGGAGACTGCCCCACGGAGAGCTGCACCCGACGGAAACGCCCCCAGAGCGTTGGCATACCGTCTCCGTCGACTTCATCGTCGAGCTTCCGGAGGCCCATGGGTACGACGCGATCATGGTCGTCGTCGACACCCTTGGGAAGCGTGCCCACTTCTCGGAGTGTCACACCACGGTCGACGCAGTAGGGGCGGCTCGCCTCTACTACCGGAATGTCTGGCGCCATCACGGGACTCCGGAGAAGTACGTCTCCGACCGCGGCTCGCAGTTCATCGCGGACTTCACCCGAGAACTCTGGCGTCTAATCGGCATCAAGCCTGCCACGTCCACCGCGTACCACCCGCAGACAGACAGTCAAACAGAGCGCGTCAACCAGGAGCTGGAGCAGTACCTGCGGATCTTTACCAACTATCAGCAGGACGACTGGGATGAGCTGATTCCGGCCGCGGAGTTCGCCTACAACAACCACGTTCACTCCTCCACGCAACAAGTCCCCTTCATGACGGACACGGGACGACTCCGCGCATGGGCTTCGAACCCGGAGTCCGTTCCGCTATGGAGTCCGTGAACGAGTTCCGCGACCGGATTGCCACTGGTGTTGCCGAAGCCAAGGCCGCGCTCACTAAGGCCAAAGAGGAGTACAAGCGCTACTACGACCGGAGACGCACTCCGTCTCCGGAGTTTAAGGTTGGCGACCGTGTTTGGCTGGATGCCTCTGACATCAGGACGACTCGCCCCTCGGAGAAGTTCTCCCACCGCCGCCTCGGACCATTCAAGATAGTCGCGGAGATCAGCAAAGGTGCCTACAAGCTCGACCTCCCTCCGCGCTACTCGAAGCTCCACCCGGTCTTCCCCGTCGTCAAGCTCGAGCTCGCCCAAGACGACCCCCTTCAACGGACGCCCCGGCTATGACCAGCCCCCTCCGGACCTCGAGGACGGAGTCCCGGAGTGGGAAGTAGAGGAAATCCTGGACGCAAGGGTGAGGTATAAACGGCTGAATTACCGTCAGATGGAAAGGCTACGACGCGTCGCATGACCAGTGGGTCCGCTTCGACCGCGTCTTCGCCCCGGAGAAAATCGCGGAGTTCTATCGTAAGTACCCTGGCAAACCACGGCACATCGCCTCTGCAACCTTCGACTCGATTCCATTCCGGTCTATGCGCCGGGACGCCGCATTCAAAGGGGGGTGATGTCAGGGGAACCTCCCTTTCGGCCCCTCGGAGACGATTCCGATTCCGGTCCGACTCCGGCTCCGACTCCGTTGATCGCATCACCGCCTCCGTCAGGCGCATCGCCGCCCCGCCTGGCGATCCCCCTGGGACCTGGCCTGCGACATGGCGCAGGCATACTGCACGGAGCAACGATCAACCTTGGCGCGTCAAGAGCGCAGTATATAGTTCCGCTACCTAGCAGGCGGACCCTTAGAGTTTCTTCTCTTTGGATCCTCCCCTGCTAGGTCAGCCTCACTTGTATTTGCTTACTTCTATTCACTCTTTGGATCCTCCCCTGCTAGGACCTTGATCTCAGGCCTCCGGGGTTGCCCTTACAGTATACTGTATCATTTTGACTGTTAGTTCAGGTGCATATCACATGTGCACCTGAACTGAGCCTAATTGAAATAGGTTACACCTTACATGCGAATTTACCATCAAATGTGTCCTAATTAGGCAATAACATATCAAAAACTTCAGCCGGCGACCATATATAGTAATTCCATCAATGATGAACTTGTTACATTGTGAGTTTATTGCGTTACGTGTTACACCTGCTGAACTTATGGTTAAAATGATACAGTATTGCCAAATCAAGAAAAAATTGTGTGCAATGCTAAGATGCAATTTAAAGTTTGTGGTGACAAATATTATTTCTAAATTAACGTCCAGGTGTTTGTTTATATAGTACAGAAATACTTCTATAGTAAGTTTAGTCTGGTTGGAGTGAAACCCAATTTATTCAAGGAGTCCCAAGTTCTCCCAACGATGGTGTAAAAAAACTTTTGCTATATGAAAGTTTGGCACTACATTTATAGTATTTATAGGTTTAAGCATGGAATACAATGTGGCATGCAGTACAACTATGGCCCCGATCCCCGCACATGTAGTGGTAATAAGGAATCATCTTATTTGGTAATTCCCGAGTCACATTTTGGTCACATTCGCGGAAATCTGCGACCTTGATTTGACTCCAATCGGCTGACCACATTTGGCTCCGGTTTTCCCATAAAAAATTCCTGCTTTGGGACTTGTTTGGGCCCCTGTTTTTGCGTGAATCCCTAGTGTGAGAGGTTATACTAAGCCTACTTTTGTCTGGAAAGGCCAAATTCTTCAGGAATATGGAGGCTGATAGAGTCCTCAGAAATTTGGAACTGGCCTCTGAATTCCAGAAATAAAATTCCAGAATGCCAAGGCTCTTTTTTGGCTTTTCTTCAAAAATCTGTGGATTTCCTAGTTATACAGCCATAACTATAAGTGGCTGGTGAAACCTATTGATTTTCATTGTAAAAGATCTGGACTTGTTATCAGATTCTTCTCATCAGTAAATTCATCTCTCTCTCTCTCACTCTCAAGTATTTCACACAACTGAGTACTGATTCTTGAAATATTTATTGTTTAATGATAACACGTTGACGGATGCTCTCTTTGCTGTATTGATGAAGTTCGACTTGAACACGCCCTATGGCAGAACAACGAATCAGGCAGATTCGTCATCGTCTTCTTCCACAAACTGCAACGATCCCTTCGCCTTCAGCGCTGCCATCTTGTCTTCCAGGAAAAGGACGGCCTCTCTGTACGCTGTCACATAGCCGACCGGGCGGCGTGGGACCATCGCGGCAGAGAGGTGAAACACGACCGCCTGGAGGCGGGGGAAGCGGGCGTTATTGCCTAGCCCGAGGATGGCTAGCTCGACTTCCTCCCAGGGTACGTCTTTGTATGGTGTGGAAAGCGCCACATCGAAAGAGAGCGTGGTGAGGCTGTTCTGCGCGCCGTTGGCGCGGAGCTGTGCGAGTGTCGCGAGGACGGTTTTGCTTGTTTGTGAAGGACTGCGCTCGCTGAAGGTTAGAGTGGAGAGCGCGCAGCAGGGACGCAGATCAAGTGGTGTGTCCTCTGCACAACCACTTAGGTGACAATAAGATGTGAGGATCAAAACTAACCTGCTGTGCTCCCCCGACGCCTGGTGTGTGGGCCAGGCACCTCGAGGGACTTAAGCCCACTTCCGATCTTTGCGAGTAGCGCGTTGAACGATGAAGCGTCGTTGCCGAAAGATAGGATGCGGAGACGGTCAACAGACAGAGAAATGTCATCTGTGGTGAGCCATTGGATGAGAGGCGTTTGAGGATACGTTCCCAGCGCCAAACTGGCCAGATCAAAGCAATAGGAAGCCGCCTGGCGCATGGTTGGTGCCAGTGGATGCGGCGTGGTCTGGCCTGTATCACATTGGAAGACCTCGAGTGAACGGAGCAGGCGGAACGCTCCGATGAAGCGGTAGAGCGCGTCCGGTGTCTCGAACCTGCAGAAACGCAATCTGAGAGTTGTCACGCGAGTGCACACGCCAGTCTGCTGAAGCAGCATCTCCAGCCCGATTTCGACGTTCTTGTGACTGATGCCGAGGGTATGCAGCTGTGGCAGGCAATGTAGGACAGGAAACAACGCCGCCAGCGCGGAGGGCGGCGTCACGTGGCGTGTAGCCCCCTCCCGGACATCCAGCACCGTGACGAATTCGCCGAGCCGCGGGTTGTCGAGCAGGACGTCAAGGAAGCGAAGGACGGTGCGAGGGCGGACGCAAATGCGGCGGAAGCGGAGGGATTGGATGTGTGCGGCCCAGGCTAGTGAGACCAGGGAGCAGCTTTGGAGCTCCGCGCTATCGGGTCGAAAGTGGTCGATGATGAAAAAGTGCAGCTCGAGGGGGAGCTGTGGCACGGTGGGAACAGCCGGAGCACTGGCAGTGAAGGTCAACTTGGAGACTCTGCGAGAGTCCCGGCTGAACATTCCATTCAGTGCACCGAAGTGAAAGGAGAAACTACGCGTACCGCGACCAGAGCAGCGCGCTCCAAAGGGCAGGCATAAGGAGGCAGGAGGCAGGTCGAAAAACGCCAAGACAGCTGTCAAATATAGGGTACAGCCTCTCAGTCATTAGTTGATTGGCGATGATTTTCACAAGCGAGCCGCGTGACAAAAATTTCCTCGGCCCGATCTTCTTCTCTCTTCACCGTCATGGCCGCTCAAGCCCCCGGGCGTCAATTGTGCTATATCGGATACAATCAGACTTTGCTTCCACTCCCACACGTCCACAATGCATCCAGCAGAGGCTCAGGCAGAATATCGGGGAAGGGGAAGGGCGACATGGAGGGGCAGCCGTGGTCAGCGCCCGTTTCGCGGCCTTCGAGGACGTGGCACTGCGGCACGTGGCTTCCGTGCCGACCCGAGCGCGCCGCGCGATGCACCCCCGAGGGCACCGCCCGATAAGGACCTCCTGGACGGGCTGACACCGACACCGCTGCGGACGGTTCCCCGCCCGGCGCTTGTCGGCCAAGCCAAACCAGTCGTCGTCACGGACATGAAGGTTCTGGGCTCATACAATTGGGGGAAGGCGCCAGAGCCAACCATAGTTGTTCCAGGTGTGTTGCCCTTCACCAAGGATCTCGCTGTCTTATAAAACTTCCTCGTGGTTAGGCTCGCCGCCGCAATGGCGCAACCGCCCCCTTCCTTATCAGGTCGAGCTCGACCGCGGCCTCGCTTTCGTGGACGAAAACGCGTTCCGTGCACCGAATCGGTATGCGTTGCTCCCGCTCATCGCGGCCGTCGACAAGACCTGCGAGATTGAATCCCTTGCCGGAGACAAGTTTGACTGGGCAGGCGAACATGCGGACTTCCTCACCACGAGAAACGTGCTTCGTCGACTGCTGCGCTGGGTGGACAGTCCCACCGATCCAGGGAGCGAGCAGTTTGTCGATGACTTCCGGATTGACACGCAGCTGGCGGGGTCCACCGTGTTGCTGAATCGCTGGGAGAAATGCGACCAGCAAGAAATGGTATGGTGGAGCTACGGTCTCAACTTTGAGAAGGCCACGACAACACCGGCGAGCGGGATTACGGAGAATACGGGACACCAACGGATCATCTCATATGTGCGCCAGTGTTTGTTGTGTCAGCTCAATCTGACGGTTGACAAAGGACTTGGATGGACTGCGCATGGTCGTGCGCTTCGAGGTCGACGCTTATCTCCCCGAGAATATGAAGCCAAAGCCCAAGTTGGAGGCAGAAGAACTAACATTTGCCAACCTCGCAGCACGGTTGGCTGGCATAGACCTCGCCACTCCCAAATTCCAGATCCCTTCGCACGCCTCTCCGCCTTCCTCACGTGCCTCGGCCTCCCCCGAGCCCTTCACATGCTACCACGGGCTGCGGGTAGTTGAGGCCGGCACACCGATCCCCCAACGCAACCTCGTTGACCTGTCCACGCGCAGCGAGCGGCGCATGCTCGATATCGACTGGTCCGATTTCTACATCCAGCACTTCCTCTCGCAAATCGACATGCACTTCGTCGGCGTCCACGAGCGGGGCCTGTTCAGCCGAGTCGTCAAACGCTCCGTCCTGGAAAACGATACAGGGTCTGAAGATCTTGGGGCCAAGATCCAGCCGACTCTGCGCAAGTTGCGCGTCGCGCTGGACACGATTCGCGACTCGGTGCTGGAGCACGGGCAGCGTGGGCGCTTGTCGCTAGTCTGTCGGCAGGGCGAGCTCCAGGTCTTTGAACGACCGAGCATGGCGAGCTGCTTGCCACAGGAGATTCTGGACAGATTTATTGAATAGTGTTTGGAGAATGCAGGTAGAATTAAATTACTTTGCGTCAAAAGATAAGTATGCTTGTAATGAAAAATAAACAGTAGATTGATATATATAGTGTCACTCCTCAGGCTCACTGAACCCAAAACATGATTTGAGGCGACTTAGATATATACTACTAGTAGTAGATTCTGAGATAGGTCTACTCATAATATTTGCTGTTTCCGAGTTTTCTAAAAAGAAAAACTGAAAAAGCTAGAGATAGACTCAGATAGTCATACATGTTTCTAACAGGTTTTGAAAACAGGGTTTTAGAAATGCATTTCAAATCCAACTACACTAAAAGACTTGTTGTTGATATTGTTGTGAAACACTCCCTTCTGGCCCCCTGGAGACGATTCCGGTCCGATTCTGATTCCAGTCCGACCCGGGCCCCGGCTCAAGCCTACACCATCACAGCTCCATCAACGCCCTCCTGATGGTTGCCCTGGGAGCTGGCCTGCGACACCGCCTAAGCCCTCTAGCAGTGGCGGCATCCGGTTCAGCCTTCTGGTTTAAACCTGAACCATGTCAGGGGAACCTCCCCTTTGGCCTGCCGATTCCAACCCTGATTCCGATCCAATTCCGGTTCAGGTGATCACATCAGCTCATTCACTCAGGAATACTAATAAAAATGTGGCTACTGGTGAAGGGCCGTACTCACAAAAGCTAGGGAAGGGCTCAAGGGTCACAAATGTCACACTTTTTAAAAAACCATTTTATTCATTTTTGAGTGTTAGATTATGGTATTGATGATGGAATGGATAGCATCAAGATAAAGTGATCAACGTGGAACGATTTTTGATAGACATCAGTACCATTGATGGCTATGTCAGGATACATTAATTTCAGCCTGATTAGGATGTATACCTTTGCCCTAGATCACAGGCCTACCTAGATGCTTATCCGGGTCTTCAGCCTGAAAATAGTGATTTGCCTTTCCATATCTGGTAATAGCTTAGTCATAGCTGTCAAACTCATTGAGATATTCACACTTGATTGAATGTCATATTTTTTGTTACAGTACTCCGGCCATGGCTGGCATGAGCTCCCCCAGGTTTTATGAGCACAGCCCTTCACCAGTAGCCACAGTTTTATTAGTAAAACTGAGTGCACATCCTGATCACATCACCACCTCCATCGGGTGCATCATTACCCCGCCCTGGAGATCCCCTGTCAGGGGAACCCCCGCTTCGGCCTCCTTCGGACCCTCCGAACGCATCCGAGGCGCATCCGACCGGCGCCCCCTGGGACGCTCCGACCCACCCCGACCATCGTCCACGGCCTCCTTCGCCCGCACAATCACCGATCCGTCAAGACCCTCCCAACGATCACCTTGGGACAGAGCCTGCGACGCCGCTCAGGCCTTCTGCGCTCTACGTCGGCAGTTACGGACGACCAGTATATAGTTGGCGCCCTAGCAGGCGGACCCTTAGAGTTTCTTCTCTTTGGATACTCCCCTGCTAGGTCGGTCCCTCCGTGTATTTCCTGTAGTCTTATTCACGCTTTGGATCCTCCCCTGCTAGGCTTTCGTCGGAGTCTCCAGGGTTGCCCTTACAGCAGAAGAAACTCTCTACGGGATTAACCGGTCAAGATTGCCAGGTTTGGTGCTGACTCAGGCTTGGAGTACGAGTCCGTACCCCCCTCGTCACCGCCCCTGCCACTTGACCCCTCCTCCTCTGCTCTTGTCGTCTTTACGCCCGCTATGTCTACCGGAGCTGCTCCGGACGCTGACGCGCGCATGGACGCACTTGAGGCGAAACTAGACAACCTCACCAATATCCTCACCCCCCTTGCTTCCCAGGCTTCCGCTGCCGCATCACCTCCGGCAGCTCCCGAACCGCCTTCGGCATCTCCGAATGCCCCCGACGCGGATGCGTTATTTGGTGACATTACTGTCGCCTCAAAACTGGTCTTACGACCAAACCCCCCGTTTGCGTTTAACGGAGATCGCAAACGCGGCCGCGCCTTCCTATACGCAGTCAAAACCTACGCTCGGCTTGCCCGGAGGCCTTCGTAGTTAACGGAGAGCCGAGCGAAGAAAAGGCCGTCCGCTACGCCATGTCCTATATGGCGGAGGGACCTGCTCAGCAATGGGCAGAGCGTCATGGGAGCAAAAACCCCTTCCCTCGGTGGAGCCAGTTCCTCTCCGAGTTTCGCCTTCGGTTCGTCGAGGAGAACGAACAGGACCTCGCTCGCTAAGTTGGAAGCGCGGGTTATCACATGGGAACGCGGGATGTCTACGGATATACCGACGACTTCGAGGACTTGATGGACCTCGCTGGCTTCAAGACGCGTTGGTTAAGGTAACCAAGTACTGCCACGGACTTGACCCCTTGATCAACAACGGCATCACCTCTTGAACGACCCCCAGACCTCCGTGACTATCTGGGCTGGCGCACTCGGGCTTTCCGACAATATGAAGCCCTGGTGCGGCGAAGCTCATTAAGGGAACGGCTACCCCGCGGACCGCCGGGAGCTCCGCGGCGCCTTCCCCATCACTTGTTCGGCAACTCCGTTCCCCATCCGCCCGGTGGCCCCGCCTGTGCCACCCGGCCCGCGCCCCGTCCCGGTACCTCCGGCTCCCGTCCCTATGGAGCTGGATCGTACTAGGGCTCGGGGTGCCCCTCGTCGAGCCTGCTTCAGATGCGGCGACCCCAACCATTTGGCTCGGGACTGTCCGCTCCCCGCCCGACGTCCGCCATGTGGACATCCTCGACGAGGTAATCCAGCAACTTGGCGATGAGATGCTGGGAGAGCTGCTTGCGCGGTTGTCTGATACTGCGGCCTCAGCGGAGGCGCATTCGGAGGCTCCGGCAGAGGATTTTGTCCCCCGTGACGAGTGACTGGTGTGCCCTCGTTCGCGTCCATAAATCGTTTCACTTGTTTGTATGATGAATCAACTCCCTTGCCCTACAACGAGCCCGAAACGAAAGACGCACCCTCTGCCCCCTCCGAAGCCCCCCGTTCGGATTCGCCGACTTGCCTGGGAGAAAAAGCTACCTGGCAGTTATACCATCTCTGCCGCCCCTGGCGTTAACTCGCTGCACCTCCCCCTTGAACTTGAGTCCACTGCGAACGCGCTCAAGCTCTCCCTCTCGGGTCTGGTCGACTGCGGAGCTACCGGACTTTATCGACACAGAATATGCCAACCGGAATAATGTGCCAGTCCGAAATCTCTCAGTACCCATCCCGGTCGACAACGTCGACGGCACCCCCAATGATGCTGGGTCTATTCGCCAAATCGCGGACCTCGTTCTACGGTACAACGGACACTCGAACGCGTTCAGCTGGCTGTAACCCACCTTGGGAAACAGGACCTGATACTCGGATACTCCTGGCTCAAAAAGCATAACCCCGAGATCAACTGGGAAACAAAGGAGGTGAAAATGAGTCGTTGCCCCCGCAGCTGCTCTACCTGCCGTGACGAAGAGCGGACCGAACGCGCCGAGGTTCGGCGGCTCCGACTCCTTAAATCACGACTACTTGCGGGCGCCTTCCCCACTGTTTGCGCTATCGATATCGCTGGCCCAGATGATGCTGACGACGAGCTCGGAGCTGCTCCGGACCCTCCGGAGCCCTCACCAGATCTCGACGGCGACGAGCATCTTGAAGACGGCGACCGCATCTTCTACACCTCCTTTCGCCCAGTTGAGGAGATCCCGCTGGCAGTACAGTGTCCCAACGCCTTGCAGAGGCCTTCGCCCGTAACTCGGCCCCTCCGCCTTCGGAGATCCCGGACTGGGCCAAGGAGTTCCAAGACGTCTTCGACAAGGAGTCCTTTGACACGTTACCAGAGCGGAGGGCTTGGGACCACGCTATCGAACTCGTCCCCGACGCGAAGCCCGCTAACTGCAAGGTGTATCCGATCTCTCCCCTCGAACAGCGCGAACTTGACGAGTTCATCGAGGAAGGACTTGCCACAGGCCGTATTCGCCCTTCGAAATCTCCGATGGCCTCCCGGTCTTCTTCGTTAAGAAAAAGGACGGAGGGCTTCGGTTTGTCCAGGACTACCGCGCCCTCAACGCAATGACGATTAAGAACCGGTACCCCCTTCCGTTGATTAACGACCTTATCAACAGGCTCAAGGGCGCTCGTTACTTCACCAAACTCGACGTTCGCTGGGGTTTTAATAACGTCCGGATTAAAGAAGGAGACGAGTGGAAGGCGGCCTTTCGGACTAACCGAGGGTTGTTCGAACCTTTGGTGATGTATTTCGGCCTGACAAACTCCCCCGCGACGTTCCAAACGATGATGAATGACATTTTCCAGGATCTCATTCTTTCAGGCGACGTTATGATCTACCTCGACGACATCCTTATCGCACATTCGGACCTCCGTCCTTCGGCGGCTCCGAATGCACAAGTTGTACCTTCGCAAGGAAAAGTGCGACTTCGAGAAATCGTCAATCGAGTACTTGGGGGTCATTATCTCGCACAACCATGTCGAAATGGACCCCGTTAAGGTCGCCGGAGTCTCCGCATGGCCTCCGCCCGAAAGCAAGAAGGACGTTCAGCAGTTCCTGGGGTTTGCTAATTTCTACCGCAGGTTCATTCGGGATTTCTCGGCCCTAGCGCAACCTCTCTTTGCGCTCACCAAGAAAGACCAGAAATGGACCTGGGGAGACGCCCGGCCGCCGCCTTTCAAGCCATCAAGGACGCGGTCGTATCAGAACCTGTCTTAGCGATCCCGGACGACTCTCGGCCTTTCTGACTTGAAGCAGACAGCTCAGATTATGCGACGGGGGCGGTTCTTTCACAACAATCCGCCCCGGACGGGAAGTGGCACCCTGTAGCGTTCTATTCCAAAAGCTTAAATGATGTCCAGCGCAACTACGAGATTCACGACAAGGAGATGCTCGCGATCATCCGCGCACTCGAGGAGTATCGGCATTTCCTCGAGGGCGCCGCGCATCCGGTTGAGATCTGGACTGACCATAAGAACTTGGAATACTTCCGAAAGGCGCAACACCTTAATCGTCGGCAAGC